TTTTTCCCTGTAATTTCCAGCCACTGGGCTGTGACCTTCATTGTTTCCATCCAGCTGTTATGTCCCTGTCCCTTTAAGACTTTTAAAAAGCACTCGCTTTTCTTTGTCACAGGGGCATCAGCTTCGGAATTCGCTCAGAGGTCTTGCTGCCCTGTTTCCCTAGTTTCCAGCCCTCCACGCATGCACTGTGTCTGCGCTCTGGTGCGGGTGGCTGGGGCTGGGTGTTTAGCAGTCCTGGGCTCCCTCTCCCTCCCGCCGGGAGCTGGGGGGAGGTGTGCTAGGGTCCCGCCAGGCCGGGGCTTGTACCTTACCCCTTTCACCAAGCGCTGGGCTCTCGCACGTGTTGATATAGTCTGGCTGTTGTCCTGTGTCTTTTGGTCTCTCTTTTAGGATTAGTTGTATTTGTTGTATTTTCAAAAATATATGTGTTTTTGGGAGGAGATTCCCACTGTCCTACTCACGCCGCCATGTTGGCTCCACCCTCCAAGATGATTTTTAAAAGGAGAATAGAAACCTATAGTTTTTCTGGCATGGAGAACCAGAGGGCAGAATTTAGAGTAACCACAGTTGTTGGAAAATGATGGGAGAAAGAGCCAGAGAGGGCTCAAATTCTGAGTATAAGCTCTGTTTAAACTGCTTGCTGACATCTGAAGTATATATGTATTAGTGTGGCAGACTTCAGGAAGCCTAGCCAAGGCTCAAAGAACTGAACAGACATGTCAGCAGTCACCTATCAGAGAGGAGAGAGAATATGGAGTTTGAATCCAGCCAAGTTAGCTGCTTGCGAATTTAAAAAAATAAAACAAGCAATACTCTTCAAAGAAATATAATAGAATTCAGAATCTCTATAAAGAATCATTCAAAATGTCTAAGGTATAATTCAAAATTCCTGAACATGATAATGTCAACATATTCATAAGAAAAGCAGTTAATGGAAACCAAACTCAAGATTACCCACATCTTGTATTTATCACATAAGGATTTAAGAGTTGCTTTTTTTAATATGGTTAATAATGTAAATAAAAATAAAAAAATACTCATGATGAGTAAACAAATAGGAAATCTCAGAAGAATAGCATCTTTAAAATCTAAGGAAATTATAGAACTGAAAATTAAATATCTGAAGTAAAGTTTTAAAGTACAGTATCATAAAGTTTCACAGAATGGGCTTAATAAGTCTGTGAAGACAGAGTCAGTTTGCCCGATCAAAAAAAGGAAACAGGAAAAAAAGATTGATATTTGAATGAATAGAGTCTTAGGGACCTAAGGAGTGATATTGAACTGTTTAATATATATTTAATTGGAATCCAAGAAGAACAGGAGAAGATGGGGTTGAAAAAAGTATTTGAAAAAATAAAGGTGAAAAATTTCTAAATTTAGTGAAAACACAAATTAATACTCACAAGAAACTCAGTAAATCTCAAGTTGGATAAAAGCAAGAAAATTTACTTAGGCACATCATGGTCAGACTGCTGAAAGCCAAAGATAAAGAGAGAATCTTAAAAGTAATTAGACAAAAATGATGTATTATATGTAGAAGAATAATGATAAAGATAAGAGTGGATTCTCATCAGAAAAAATGGAGCCAAAAAATGACATGTCATGTTTACAGTGTAGATGAAAGCAAATAAAATCCCTGTCAAGGATTCTATATGCAGTGAAAATATCCTTCAAGAATGAAGGTGAATAAAAGACATTTTCAGAAATAAAAACTAACAGAATGCATCACTAGCAGAACTTGACTATAAGAAATCTAAAGGAAATACAGACTGATACCATTTGGAAATGCACATATAAAGAAAGGAAAGAAGAACAAGAAAGAGTAAATGCATGGATAAATAAAAAAAGAAACACTACTTTCCCCTACACATCTCTAAAATACATATTTTAATTAAAGCAAAAAAATATTTATTCATATTAAAACAAAATTTTAACTTTGTAATATAGGGTTTATAACATACCAATGTAATACACAAAATAATAAGAGCATAAAAGATAGGATGTTGGTAAATGGGTCTATATCATTGCAAGTTTATTACAATTATGTTAAGTATTACTATATTACCCCTAAGTAGGCTATGGAAAGCTAGATGCATACTGTATCGCCTATACTAGTCACTGGAAAACTACAGCCTAAGGGCCAAATCTGGACCGTCACCTAATTTTGAAAAAAAGTTTTATTAGAACAGAGCCACAATCACTCCTTTACATACTGTCTATGGCCCCTTTCACACTATGATGACAGAGCTGAGAAGTTGTGGCCGAGACCATCTGGTCCACAAAGCATAAAATATTTAATATTGGCATTTTATAGAAAATATTTTCTGACTCCTGACCTAGAATAACCACTTAAAAGTAATAATGTAAAGAAGTACAGCTAAAGGAGTAATATCTAAATTAAAATGGAGTTCTCAAAATTATTCAATGCCAAAAGAAGGCACTAAACAGCACTACCACCACCACCACAAAGAAAAAACAACCATAAAATGGTAGACCTACATGTAATCATTCAATAATTACAGTAAATGCAAATCGATCAAACACTAAATAAAAGGCAGAGATTTTCAGGATGAATAAAAAAGCAAGGTCCAACCAATGAGACACAGATGGGTTAAAAGTAAATGAATGGAAAAGATATGCCATGCAAACAGCAAGCATAAAATGCCTAGAGAGACCTACCTATCAAACAAAGTAGATTTCAAAAACAAAGAGTATTTCTGGGAATAAAAAGTATTGTTGCATATATAGAAGAAAATTCTTTAAAGTTAAAATGGTCAGTAATTAGTAAGATATAATAATCATAAATGTGAACTGTAAAAATAAGAGTTTCAAAATACATGAAGCAAAATTTGACAGAATTAAAGAACTAGAGAAACACCAATTTATTTATTACCTTTCTCTCATTAACTAAAAAAATATCTACATAAAAAATCAACAATGTAAGAACTGTTATAGATTTTACTATTTAAAAGACTAAAAACAGCTACCCAGGCTTTATCAACTTAATAACACAATGGATAGCCTCTCCTCTTGATGCTCCTTGACTCAGATCTAAGTGTGGATAGAAAGCAAGTATAGGAAACATACTTGGCCCACAGACAAATATACTTTTCCTGGTTATCTGGACTAGGAGAATATATGTTACTATTATATGTTACAGTATTATATATTATATATTTACTATTTTTCATTTAATACTTGGCTTAGAATTATGACAATTTAGAAATGTCTCTTTATTTTGTACACTAAGAAAATATAATCCAGACAGGCAACCAATTTAACCAATACTATACAGCTATGAGCATGCACTGAAACAAGGGTCAATTTGACCTCCAGCGTATTTTCCTATTATACAGCACTACCTGCTTGTTGACAGTGCATAAATGACTACAGACACCGGAATTACGGGGCAGGATCAAATAAATCTTTGGGGCCATTTGGATAATTGATCCTTGTTTCCCTAAGTCCTCAAAGTCTATTTTAGTTAAATAAAGTAGACATTGTAAATACAGGACTAAGTAAACCTCAATTAATGTCCAACCCATGTCATCCACTAAGGTAGTCTATGAAACCTGCATGCTATGAGCTATGGTTATGAAATGGTTTTAGTGTCTTTTATTTGATTGAGGAAGTCAAATATCATATTTGCATTTACACAGGCATACCTGATAGGCTGAAAGTGACGGAAAAATTCTAAGGAATGTCAACAATGTGCAAAATGAGTTAGCAATTTTATTTCTCTCTGCCTCAGTTTTCTAAAAGAAGAATGACTTGATGAGTTCCGAATTTTTCCATTGATTGCTACATATTAGCTTTGTGTACAGTGTAACAAATTGGAAATAATCTACCGAAACATCATTTACGTTTATATAACAGAAACCCAGATGATGAATATTAATACTGAAGGAATGTTCTGTGGGAATGACTTCTATTAATAACTATGTCACACACAATTTCTTTCGCTGATTATAGTCGTTTTTCTCTTAGGGTCTCTGGGTACTTAGAATTGACCACTGTCTAATATAATGCTATTATGGGAAACTACAGGCAGGGGGCAGCAGATTTCAAAAAGGAGCAAATAAAGGCAAGTGGTGGTGTTAATGACAATTTAAATAGTAGTAAAAACATTTTTCTCTTATCCTTTTCTGACTCTTCAGTTACAGTCCATTTAAATTATTATCTAATTTTATAACTTTAATCTATACATAAATATATATACAACAAATAAATGTCATCAATAAAATATAATTATCATAAAATTTGATTCCAAATTAAAGTAAAAATATCCATACATTTAAGCTTATGTGCTCAAAATTATGTTTATATAATATATATAATTTAATATATGTATGTGTGTACATATGTATACATGCATCTTTGTTTTTAAACATTTTCCCCCCTCAGTTAATGAATGAAGACATTGTGCTCTTTACTTGACAAAATCCTCCTGCTTTTTTCTGTGCCATGACCACAGAAAAGAACTTGCTGCCTCTCAAGGAAAAGAAATGTATACTTTTGAAAAGACTTCTAATAGTAGGAAAATAGTATTTTATGATATTAAAAACTCTTTCTTAGAGCAGTGCCATGAGAAAGCATGATGACACAGCTCCACACTCCAAGGGTGTAAAAACACACTCAAGCTGAGTTATGAAACGAGGCAAGAAACTTCAAAGAAGATTCTTGTTATGTTAGTTTTATTAATATTCCATTATATTTATGTGATATCACACCACTATATTTTGGAATGGATTTTACAGAAAAACTAATTTATTCACACTAGGGTAAAGGAAAAGTAACAGTTGTCACCACTAGTTTGCAGCTAGGTACAACCCGTGCCTAGAATGAGTGAGCTACTTGCCCAAATAAAACACTGACTTAATGATTAAAGGAGGCCAAGAATTTTCATTCTTTTAGTCTAACACTGAATACTAAACAATAGTTGTGGCAGAAAATAAAGTGGAAAAAATTTGTTCATAGCTTGATCATCTTTAATTACTTACTGGTTTCCCTTGAACTCCTCTCTCCCCAAGGTTCCCAGTCTTACCCTAAATGAGAAAGAAAATGTTCTGTCAAGTAGTTCCCTCCCCAAATACTAGTCATACACCAAGAAAAGCATGGGAGATTTTAAATGTTTATCTCTAACGTGAAATGTTTCACTACTTACAGTAAGACCATGAGGCCCTCTTTTTCCTTGATCTCCTTTTTTACCCTAGCAAAGTATCAATACCAGGTGAGTTAATAAGAATGTGAATTGTGGTCTTACACATGCAAGCATACACTTATATATAATTTTTTTAAGACACCAAGTATATAGTTTGTAAAACATTTGTGTGTGTAGTAAAAATTTATGTGTTTCATATTTAGACAAAGAAAATGTGGACCCATACTTTTATAAGGAAATACATCAGTTTTAAAGACAGGTAGGACATATGGGCTCAAAAAACTTTACTGAATATGAAATGAGAAAACCAAGACTTACCTTGGTACCTTGTATACCTTGTTCCCCTGGGAGACTGTCTGGTCCTCTTGGTCCCTAGAGATGGAAAAAATATTCTGTTGTTAATTTGAAATGTTTCTTTTCACTGTTATGCATCCTTACAGATGAACACACTGTGCTGTTTTTTAGTTGACAAAGTCCTTCTGCTTGTTTCTGTGCCATGACCACAGAAACGAACACAGCTGGGTATACGGATGCGCCTATTTGCATGGGAGAATCAAGCTAGTGTTTTTAAGATTTAATGCCAAATAATAAATCACATGATCACAAAATCAGCCATTTCAGTTGTTGAGGTGGCTATCATACAGATTTCTCTCAGTATTTTGTTCACCTGACCATTTATTCAGCAGCCATCCAGGAATCTGTTTTAGGAATGGAACTCTTTGCTTGATTATCAATAAATAATTTTGGAAAGACTGGGACTTAAAAGGTGAAGCACTGGAGTTTATTTTTTAATCAATAGGCAATGAGGAGGTACTGAACAATTTTATACAAAACAGTGAAACAAATCTCCCAATAACAACATGCTGATCTGAAGGCCGCCCCTACACTTCAGCACTTTCTCTTGTATCCCATCTGAGATAGCCTGGTTTAGCTTTGTGGTCTTAAAGAGCTGCTTGCTGTAATAGGACTGTCTTCCTAGGTACTCTTAGCAGAAGTGCATTTCCTGATCCTCTTGGGCACATCATGGGACTGGAGAGGAGAGTCGCACTCCAGGAGGATCTACAGTTCCATTGGTCATAGTCAAGTTAAAGACAGCTCTAGACCTACAATTTCCCGGTCTGTTTTAAGGTACTCCATGACCTGTCCCCAAATTCCTCTTCTGCCCTATTTTTCCATAAAAGACTGAAAAACTATACTACAGTCTTATTGTGCAGGGGTTTAAATGTCAAGTGGGGAGTACATACTTTATTTAATAAATTAGTGATTTTTTCAAAGTATGTTATTCATTCAATAAACATTTGCTGGGTGACCACATAAGTCAGGCACTGTTTTAGGCTCAGAGAATATGGTAGGGAGAAGAGACAATCCTGGAATTTATAAATGAGCAAAAAAAAAAAATTAGCATGTAAAATGACAATGGGAGTCATGTATAATCAAGAAAAGGGAGGTTAAGGAACTAGAGAAATCCAAGGTGGAGAGCCCTATTTTGCATTGACATGTGGGTAGATACCTGGAGGAGGTAAAACTGCAGACTTTGCAAATAACATGGGGAAGATGATTCTGGCAGAAGAAATAGCAACCACAAAGGTCCTGAGGTGGAGGCATAGTTGGAATGTTTAACAACTATAACTGAAGATGTAAAAAAAATGATTACAGAATGACTCTGAAGTTTTTAGTGCAAATATCTTTCAGGACCTTTGCTCTAATAATCACCCTCATCTTAAAAATTCAGCAGCCTGTATTAATTCTCTTTTTCTGACAACTTTTATGCCTATTTTGCTTTTTTCTGCCCTGTAAGAAAACACTTTACAAAAATTTCTGGAGTATTAACAGAAGGTAGCTGAGAGAGTATTAAAAGGAATGAGTGGTCAACATTCTAAAATATTGCAGAAAATAAGTAAGATCTAGATTGAAAATGTGTCTACTGGTAATTAGGCACTTAATCCTCTGCAACCTGAAATTTCTGTTTTTCTTGAATATTTTGTCAATAAGTAACTGGTAGAATGATGACAACATGAATAGAAAAACAAATTGGAGGTGGAAGTTTGTTTGGGGTAAAGGGGGTAGTGTGGAGAAGATAATGAATTTGACTCTAGACACACACGAGGAGGCAGATATGTCCAAGGCTAGTGCTAGAAAGTTAAAGTCATTCTATTAGGTTTAAATGGTAGCAGCCAGAAGGATTAAGCCTTGAAAGATCCCTCAGACACAGAACTATAAATTTAGAATTTTGAAAAATGATTGGTTCAAAGATGACAAATAAGTCTCTTTCTTGGAAAAAAATAGATTAAGTGGCAGCCTAAATACATATGTAGTAAAGGCTGCATCTAGCTCAGGAGGAAAGTCTGATAATTAACTGCCAGTTTCTACCTTGGGCCATAAATCACCTAATTTCAAGGCTGAACTAGTCTAAACCCTGATTTATAAGATGAAGAAACTGAAGCCTTTAGGTACAGGTAAATTGCCTGATTCACATAGCATCTAATGTCCAAAGACTTTGAATAATTGTGCCTTATTAGGTTTAAAATACTTTTTCAGATCTTAGAAAGAAATAAAGGTTAATCCTGTTAGCAAGCAAATTCAGGCTGAAGTAGAAGCTTTGAAGTTTAGAAGAGGTTTACAAAATGAATGCTAAACATGAAGAATAAAGAATTATTGGTATTATAATCGAAAGAATCTTTTTCCAAAATTAAGGAATACATAAAGTAATTATAGTCATTCATTTTATAATGCTATACATCAAAAAATGCTTTCCTTTAAAAAAATACTTTGATACTTATTATTTCATTCACTAAACCAGGACTACACAGGGAAGAAAGGGAAGTTTCTTCTACAATGATGACAAAGAAAATCACATTTAGTTTAAAAAAAAAAAAGCTCTAAATACAGCAACTATAATAAAGACTAAAAAGACTAAGGTTGCTAGTGGAGAGGTTAAGGCTGACAGAACTCTAGGAAAGTTTAGTATTCGCTATGTTTCAGTTAAGGGTAAGTTAATTAACTAAAAGCCTAACTTTATCAGCATCTGTGTTTCAATCTGATATTGAGGTAGAAGTTACACCTGGGTTACTCTGCCTGTCGTCTTTGACTCCTGAGACAAAGTAAGCTTTAGGATAAACTCTAAGAAAGTTAGATGAACAGTGTTATAATAGGCACCTAAGCAGACATAAAATTATTTTTTAATACTTGCTTTAAAATATCTGATTACCTATAAGGCTCTTGGAGAAGGTATGCTGGCTAAATAAAATATCTGATCTTTTCTGGACCTAGAGGGTATTATGTTAAGTGAAATAAGCCAGGCAGAGAGAGACAAATACCATATATTTCACTTATATGTGGAATCTAAAAACAAAACTAAACAAAATGAACAAAACAGCAGTAGACTCACAGTCACTGAGAAATCACTGGTGGTTATCATGGGGGAAGGGTTGGGGATTGGTGAAAGAGATAAAGGGGATAAAGAGGTAAAAATCTCAATCTTAATATAAATTAGTCATGGAAATGAAAGTACAGCATAGAGAATAGAGTCAATAGTTGTGAAACATCTTTTTATGTTAACAGTAATCACACTAGTTGGTGTGAGAATTTAATAAGTTATGTAACTGCTGAATCACTAGGTTGTATACTTGAAACAAATATAATATGATCAACTATAATATATATTATATGTAATATTTATGATATAATAAAATATATTAAAAAACTAAACTAAACTAAAACAACAAAAAGAGTTTATATAATCTGTAGCACTGTTTGAAATGGAGAAATAAGACCATTTAAAGCATATAAAAAATCTGATTTTTATCCTCTTTTATAAAAGTTAATGTCAGCTACAATGAGTGGCTATTAGTTTCTAAAGGCTGGAATAAACTCTGATAGCTCAGTTATATTAAACTAAGTGTGTTTTATACAGTAAAAAGTATTTGATTTATAAGCAATAATCTACAAGCATTAAACCAAATTCCTGAAAAATCATTATAATGATTATAATCATTATAATTATTATAATGATTATAATCCTAAATGCATTAGATGACAGGAGACAAAAACCACTACTTTATATAAATGCTACAATTAAAAGAAAAAAAATATGTTTAAGTGAAACATTGACATATACTGTATACTGGTTTATGTAGGAAGTTTTTCTGAGAACTAAAAGATCATCTATATCACCTTGTAATCACTTTTAACAAGTGGAAGTATCTGAATGAAAAAAACAGCCCTTATTCACAGAACAAATATCTTTCTAATTTGGATTAGGTAAATTTATATTTCCTTTGAACCATATTTACCTGTCTTTGACCCCTCTGTTAAATTTTTTTAAATTAAAAAGGTATCACTGATATACAATCTTATGAAGGTTTCAACATTCACCCATATTATCAAGTCCCTCCCCACACCCCATTGCAGTCACTGTCCATTAGCATAGTAAGATGTTATAGAACCACTACTTGTCTTCTCCGTGCTGTACTGCTTTCCCTGTGACCCACATACATTGTGTGTGCTAATTATAACACCCCTTAATCCCCTTCTATATCCCTCCCAACCCACCTCCCCAACCAGTTCCCTTTGGTAACCATTAGTCCCGTTTTGGGGTCTGTGAATCTGCTGCTGTTTTGTTCCTTCAGTTTTGCTTTGTTGTTATGCTCCACAAAAGAGTGAAATAATCTGGTACTCGTCCTTTCATATCTGGCTTATTTCACTGAGCATAATACCTTCTAGCTCCATCCATGTTCTTGCAAATGGCAGGATTTGTTTTCTTTTATGGCAGAATAATATTCCATTGTGTTATTGTACCACTTCTTCTTTATCCATTCATCTACTGATGGACACTTAGGATGCTTCCATATCTTGGCTATTGTACATAGTGCTGTGAAACATAGGGGTGCATATATCTTTTTGAATCAGGGATCTTCTTTTCTTCAGATAAATTTCTAAGAGTGGAATTCCTGGGTCAAATGGTATTTCTATTTTTCATGTTCTGAGGAATCTGCCTACTGCCTTCCACAAGTTTTGAACTAATTTACACTTCCACCAGCAGTGTAGGAGGGTTCCCCTTTCTCCACATCCTCATCATTTGCTGTTGTTTGTCTTTTGAATGTTGGCCATCCTAACTGGTATGAGGTGATACATCATTGTGGTTTTAATTTGCATGTCTCTGATGATTAGCAATGTGGAGCATTTTTTCATGTGCCTGATGGCCATCTTAATTTTTTCTTTAGAGAAGTGTCTGTTCAGATCCTACACCCATATCTTTGATTGGGTTATTTGCTTTTTGGGTGTTGAGGCTTATGAACTCTTCATATATTTTGGATGTTAATCCCTTATAAGATATGTCATATATTAATATATTCTTCCATACTATAGGATGC